CAAATGAGCTGTGTGACCCCAATGCACCTTATTAAGTTCTTTTGCTCTTTTTTGAACTGTCTCCACAAAGGAACCAGAAAATTAAAAGGCAGCTTTGTAGGCGAGCCAGAATATGAGTGCAGTAGGATTTTTGTCTTTTCTTTTTATTGGAGTTTGCCCCGAAGTGTAGCAGAGCTGGCAGTTCTTTGGCTCTTTTGTGGGGTCATGAAATGAACCGTTCATAGAAAATGCATCACGCTACACTCAAGAGTGGGGTTGTTGGAGGTCATAAGGTTGCACTGCACTGGGCTCCGGTTCCCTGTAATTCCTGTAAGACTTTCTCTTGAGACCTAAAGATGCAGCACACTTTGGAGAAGGCTTAAAGAGAAAGCTCTGGAAGGGGTTTTCTAAGGCATTCTCTCTTCAATCAACAACTCCCTCTGTAAGACTGGGGGTTTTTTTAGTCATGAATCTCCTTCAGTGATTAATTCAAAATGGAAGAAGGACGTAAAAACTTAGATAGAGCCTTAATATTTTGTCAGAAAGGAATAAGTTGTTAAATTGTTAATATTACTTAAAAGGAATGAGAGTAGGCAAAAGCAAGAGATACCGGAGAGCAGTTAACCAAACAAAACCATGGCATGAACCCACATTCCAAATGCTAAGCCAAAACTGCAAAGCTTTGATTTCCCAAAACCTAAAAGCTTAGGGGTTTTTTTGTTTTTGTGTTGTTTTGTTTTGTTTTTGTATCTCAGACCTAATGACCTTTTATCTCCCTGTGCATATGGAGATTTATTTAACCCAAAACCTGGCACTCTACTACAGAGTTGTCTCTGCCTGGCACATCACTACCAGCACCATCAAGGATCATTTAATGAAGTATTAAGCCTGTGCCCTTGTGCTGTAATTCCCTTCTCTCTATGGAGAAGTCCTTCTGATGGCCACACCTCCTTGTCATTCACCTCTACTCTCTGTCATTACCTGTAAGCCTAGAGAAGGAAGAATTTATCCCTGAAAGGTTAAAGGCAAAAAGTCAGCTGACACTAATGCTAAGTATTAAATGCTAGTTTGTACTGCCCGGCTAACATGAAATTTATTTTGGCAGAGATTCCTTTTTCTGAAATGTTTCCCTGAGTTAGCTGAACTAATTTTTTAGCAGCACCATATGGTTTTCAAGAACTATGTATGCCTCAAATGCAAACGGGAAGAGATCCCCTTCCCCCCACCACACACACCATATCACTTGCAGGTTTTCAGAACAAATTCGTGAGTGTTTGAAGACTAGATAAAATCTGCAGTTTTGTTTCTCGGGCATTGTTGAGCATATTCAGATCTGTGGGAAGGAGGAAGGCAGCCTGAGATTCTGGCTGCATGACCTCTGAACTACATACAGACAGCCGGCCTTCTGTCCTTGGTGGTGTTTATGTGGCGGGCAGAGCAAAGCTGGCTGTGTGGTCACTTAGTTGTATGGCCACACCAGGACATTCCAGACTTTGCCAGGGAGGACTGAGAAGGAACTGGCATATTATGCCCCCTTGTATTGAAATATTTGCTGTTTGGGATGTAAACTAAAATAGACATTCACCACCTAAGAAACCAGGGAGCGGCTGGCTGCCAGGGAGTGGAGAGGTAGACAAAGCCCAGCCATGGAGGACGGAGGGGGCAGGAGGTCTCACCCTTCCCACGGGGGTGAGGAGCTCTTTCCAGCCTGTGGCCTTGTTCCAGGAGCTCAGGGTGCGCTGGCTGAGTGCAGGCCCTGTCACACAGGCTGGCTTCATAACTCAGTTTCACCAGCTTCAGCGGTGTGGCTTAGCTTCTCTGGTAACTTGGTTACCAGAAGAGTAACATTTGTCAAATCACTAACCTGGCTGGTCTCCTCCAAGTATGACAAAGGCCACCTCCAAGTCAACCCCCAGCCTCCACCCGCCCAGTCCCCAGAGACCCTGGCCAACTTGCAGAGCTGGGGGAAGCTTTTCTACCTCTTAAATCTCTGAGGCCTGCTCAGAATGCAAAGAGGATCCCTCCTCCTGTTCCCATCACACTGTGTTCCTGGGGGGTATCAGCAGATGGAGGCTGCCTTTTATATGCAAATATTTGGAACCCATTAATTCCTCAGTTCCTGCCACCTACCCTCCCTCTTCTCAGACGTCTTTCTGTACCTTCTGAATGGCAAATGGAAGTTCCCACCCAAGGAAAAGCTATTCCATTGGGAGCTGGGCTTGGAGGCTCAGGCCTGAAGCTGACTACTTTTTGACACTCCTGTGCTGATTTGGACGGGCTCTTGTGGAAACAGCCTCTCAAGGCAAAACCTTGTGGGAAGGAGAAAACGCGGATTGAATGCTTTATGGAAAATTTTTACTTGATACTTGTCACGCCCTTCAGCTCAGCACTATTATTCTAGACTTAACACTAAGAAAGGGGGATCAAAGAACTGTTTCCATAGCCACCTTTGGGGTGGTGGAAAAGCCAGGGACTCCATAACCACACTTTTTTTTTTCAATGCACCACTAAAGAGGTAAAAGAACTCAGGACTGCCAGAGGAAAGAGCAGTTGAGAATTTATTGACCTCCTTTGCCATGACTCTGTCAGTGGTTGTGAAAAGAGCTTTGGATCTTCCCATTTGTTTTCCCTGCCCGCCCCCAGCGCTGTTCTTTCTCTACCCCCCAACCCGCCCTACACACACACACACACACACACACACACACACACACACACACACACGCACTTCAGAGCACAGTCCTGTGGAGTTTGCCAAGCCCAATTCTTTGCTGGCCACCATTTCTTTCAGTAAAGCGTTGCTGATCAATATTGAAAGCTAGGACCAGAAGAAAAAGATGCTCTCCAAGTTCAAACTGTCTCCTGGGGAGAGTCTTCCTTAAGAGGGAAGTGGGCACTTTTCTCCCACCGGCTGTAATGCAGCCTACCAAGGCACCTGGAAAGAAGGCATTCAGCGATGGCCCTGGGGCTGGCTGCTCCGCATGCAGCTTCCAGAAGCGCCAGCCTCCTCAGCCTTCTCACGGCATGTGAGTCCCCTTCCCACTCCATCCTTAGCCACATCCTAGCCTTTAGGGTTGCAAAAACACGGTGCTCTCCAGTATGGTGTTTGTTGGTGGTTCATGTTCTGACCCCTCCCTCAGTCTAAGGTGTATGGATGCCCTTTTGTTCCACCCCCTTACCAAAATCCTTAGAGCCTTCCTGTTTGCTGACTTCCTTGACCAGCGCTGGATCTCCCACAGCATGAAAAGCGCGTGGCGAAGCTGGTGCTAGAGCTCAGGTGTCGTGTTCACTTGCAGACTGCAGTGTCTACTCAGTCCTCGGACTTGTCCCTCCAGAATGCTCTCTGACAGGGAGACACACGTGCACTAGTGACGCCTCGTGAGTCATGCAGAGGAATCCTGGCTCATGAGAACAGTGTCGAGCCGAAGGGTCCTAGGGACCCTTGCTCACATTGGAGCTGTCCTTGCCTGACACGCATGACTGAACACAGATACTTGACACAATCCAGGTTCCAGGAAGAGGAGGGATTAGCTGGTAGGCCTAGTACACAGGGAAAGTGTGAAGCTGAACCTCATAATACTCTTGTGACACAGGGATCCTATACCCGCAAAACAAATTAAGGGGCTGGGAAGGTGGCTCAGTGGTAGAGTGCTCACCTAGCATGTATGAAGCCCTGGGTTCAATTCCTCAGTACCAGATAAACAGAAAAAGCCGGAAATGGCACTGTGACTCAAGTGTTAGAGCATTTGCCTTGAGCATAGAGAGGCTCAAGGACAGTGTCCAGGTCCTGAGTTCAAGCCTGAGGACCAGGAAAAAGAAAAAAAAAAAAAAAGAAAGAAATTAGCACACATAGGTCCTAACACTAGAAAATCTGATTTTTAAATCTCTGTAGGTAACCTAGGGCACATAGTAAAATAGCTATGATTTTTGTCATTATATTTAAATAGCTGTACAGAGGAATAACCATTACTTTCTGGAAAGAAGTTTGTATTCACCAGCACAAAAAAGAACAAATAGATAGATAATGGCATTTTTCCTCCAACCCTTTAGAGAAAACCAGGACATAATTTAAAAAAATAAAAAGTTGAGAGAAGAGTTAAGCCTGTGCTAATAGAATTCAAAGGAGAGTTTGAAGCAGAAACACACAGAAATCCACATGAGGAAACACTGTCATCGAATAAAGTAACTTACCAAGCACAGGGTGGCTCTTACCTATGATCCTGGCTACTCATGAGGCTGAGATCTGAAGATCACGGTTCAAAGCCAGCCAGGACAAGAAAGTCTGTGATGTTCTGATCTGCAGTTAACCAACAAAATGCCCAGAGTGGAGGTATGGCTCAAGTGGTAGAGCACTAGCCTTAAGCAAAGAAAGCTAAAGCTAAGAGAGAATACAAGGCCCTTAAGCCTGAAGCCCCAGTAGTCACACACACACACACCCCCACACAAAAGGATTCATTATCAGACCTAAACTTACCTTAACTGGGCTCACAAGATTAATCTATGAATCAAAATAGTAGTTGACATTTATCTAGAGACCTATAACTGATATTCTTAAAATACAAATAACAAATTTATTTCCCTGTAGGCAATCCCACACAGGGAGACAGATCATAATCAGGTTATTTGTTGAACCTGAAAACAGAAAAAAAAAAAAAAAAGTGAATCATATATTTATTTGCATTAACTAAGAAAGTAGTCCATCCATTCCAAATATGGCCTGCGGGTCTTCTTTGAAGTCTGTCAGCTAAAGGACTCGCCTCCCTGATCAGTATTTACAGATAGTCACCTGACAAGCTTTTGTCCAATTTTTCTGTGCTTCATAGCTATTCAAGCACCTGTCCATCTGCCACTTGAAAAATTCTCTCCTATCAGGCCTCCTATATTTTGGAAAAAAAGATGACCTCAGCTTCTCTTGACTTGGAAGGTATTTGAAGACTGCAGGACTGTAGTGATGCCTCCTCCTTCCCAACCTTGCCTGATCCTGGCTTCTGCTGGATGCTGCCCTGACTGTCTTCTTCCTGCAGGTACACATTGGCAGCTCAGGACCTGGTGATGCGGGCCCGTGGCGTCCTAAAGGACAGAGGATGGCGAATATCAAATGACCGGCTGGGCTCAGGAGATGACATTTCTGTATACGTCATTCCTTTAATACATGGAAACAAACTATCCTGAAAACAACCCCAGGAGACTGGGAGGACTGAGGGAAAGAAAACTGGAGTGTCTTGGCGGGCTGGCACTGGGAAGTGCCCTGGCTGGGTTCCAGGTGATAGAATCTCTACCAAGCCCAGGTAGGGAGTTTGCTGCCAAAAGGCCTCTAGCTATGCTTCGAGATGACCCTTACATTTCCACGTCTTCTTTAGTAACAGGTCTGGACACTCAACAAAAGCAAAAGACAAAGCGTGCAGCTGAGTGTTGTGTTTCTGCTGGTTTCTTGTCTAGGCCTCCCAGGTGGCGACCGCCTGTTTGGGGGGCACAGATCTCATATTTATTTTATCTAGAATAGCCGGGGCAGTTGTATTCAGGTGTAACTGACAGAAGATTCTTTAGCCTGGCAAGCTGCCAACTTCTCTCTGGATGAAAAGTGCCACATTAGAAGTTGGGGATCATGCCTCAGAAAACAGAAGCGCCCGCCTTCTAGACATCATGAGCTTTATTTCAGGGATTCTGACTTCCCCTACCTCCCCTCTCCTTTCTCCCTCCTCTTTCTCTGTGTAGTCATGATGAGGTGGGGCAAGGATCTTTTTTTTTTACATTCCTTGAATCTCATTTCCCTCCTGTGGAACAGGACTGGGACTTTCCAACTCTTTACTGAGGAATTTCTGTGTCCGGATCCAACCCAGGCTGGTTTGGCCCCGTGTCCTGTGCCCCACACTACCCAGGCAGTGGGCGCAAGCATGGGGCTGCATAACAGTGTTTGTTGTGTAACATTTGTTCCTGCGTTGCATTTCTCACCAAGCCATTGTGTGTTCTTGTAAATGTGGGTGTTTCTTTGGACCAACAGTTCCTCTGTTATCTGGCTAGAGGTTTGGCTGTGAGAGCCTGGGTTTCTACTCCCTCTCCCACCTGTTATGTTACGTGTCCTGGGAACATGTAGAAAGTTGTGTGCAGTGGCGTTCTGTAGGAAGTCCTCACGTGCGCTCACCAGCCCTCCTGTGAGGGTAGTTTTGAATTCAGGTTTCGTGAGCTGTGACTGTCCACCAGCTCACTCCAGCTCAACTGTGAGTTCCGCCAGCAGCTCTCCTCGGTCATCCTGGTGCCAGGCCCATCGCTGTGGCACGAAATTAGAGTCATTCTCATGCTGCTCTCCCTGTCCTTTCCCCAGAATCACACTGTAGCTACGCAGAAGAAATCAGAACCTTGCTCTCACTGTGGGTCCACCTCTGCGTGCTCCTCACAAGCACAGCCGCAACACACACACACACACACACACACACCAAATACCATATCTAATCAGGTATGGACAGAAGGAGTGGCCAAGTTAATTTCTAAAAGCACTTCTATCTTTTTCATAGGCAGATTGCCTGTAAGGAGCATAGGAACATTCCAGAGCAGCTTCTCACTCCTCCTTTTCCTGTAGAGCTACTACTGGTGTGTCATTACTCTGTGTGTGTGTGTGTGTGTGTGTGTGTGTGTGTGTGTGTCAGGGCAAGGATGCTCTCCATTAGTTTTTGTGCTCAAGGCTGGCACTCTTGCCACTTGAGCCACAGCCCCATTTTCGGCTTTATGATGGTTAACTGGAGATAAGATTCTCACAAACGTTCCTGCCCAGGCTGCCTTCAAACAGCAATCGTCCCATCTCAGCCTCCTGAGTAGCTAGGATGACATGGGTGAGCCACCTTGGCACTTGGCTGTGGTCACCATTTTGACAATTCCTCCATTCAGCCTACCCGGAAAGAAAAGTCATCGGTGTCATTTCCTCAGATTCTGAGAGTCAATTCCAGTTCTCATGTTTGTGTAGATTCCTTCCCAGAGGTGAGTATAGGAACCTTTCCTCCAAAGTGACAAATTGCCTACATTTCCTGGAACAGTAGATAGTTCCTTAGGAAAGGCTTGGAGCCTTCCTTCTCAGGAAGAAATTCATTCCACAGTGTTGACCCAGTGCCCTGTCTGCGAGGTACAATACTGTGGGGATTTATCCCTCCAGGTGTTTGCCAACATGTTGCCAGAGGGCTGAGCTACCCACTATTTTTTTTGTTGTTGTTGGTCATGGGGCTTGAACTCTGGGCCTGAGCGCTGTCCCTCAGCTCTTCAGCTCAAGGCGAGCGCTCTACCACTTGAGCTACAGCGCCACTTCCAGTTTTCTGGTGGTTTATTGGAGATAGGAGTCTCACGGTCTCTCCTGCCCGGGCTGGCTTTGAACCGCGATCCTCAGATCTCAGCCTCCTGAGTAGCTAGGATTACAGGCGTGAGGCACCAGCGCCCGGCGCTACCCACTATTTTGTCAGAAGTCATCTTTGTCTGACAGAGTTCCCCTCTCCTTCAGGAAGTCTGAGCTACAACTGAACGTCACTGGGGGGGAGAGGTTTGTGGTAAGCCATTTGCTGCCTGGCAGAATGTGATGCTACGGGAAAACTTTCAGGCACCCTACAGCAGAGAGGCCCATCAGTTCCTGCCTTAACCTCCCCCCGCACCCACCCCCACCCTCCCACCCCCGCCATTCCCAAAGTCACACACAAACTGGAAACAGGAGAAAGACTTCCACGGAGAACCCCCAAGCTGCCTGTTTGGGGATCTTTCCTATATTCCCAATGCCTCTCACTTTTGTTGCTTTTCTGCACCTCTCTGGGCCCTACCTGAGCTGCTCTACTTCCACTAAAGCCACCAGGCAGAATGTGGGTATAGATATCATGTAGATGTTATGACAGCTCTCTACTCCATTCACCATTCATTTACTGCCAAGGCGTGTCTCAGGAAAAACTGCAAACTCCTCCTTCAAATTAGTCTAAAACCACAAGCATTTAATTCTGCTGGTTTTAACTACAAAAAGGTATCCAGGAATTCTTTTCCAAAATCTCCTTGGGTAGAAAGATGTAGCAAGCCAAGTCCATGTTTGTGTTTGGGGGATGGGAAGAGAACTACAAATGAGGTAAATAAATTGAAAGTGGGTAAAGATGATTTGTGACTGCCCTGGAAGATCTGCCCAGCACTGATATTGCTCTGTGAATTGAGCTCACTCCATTTTGGCCTTATTTTTCACCCAGGCCCCAAGTCATCCTGGCCTAGCTAAGTAACTGATTGCACCGAATGAGGGGGTCCTTGGAGCATTCGTAGAACGGTCAAAAGACAACACACTCAGAATTTTGCCAGACATGTTTATATGTGGTCCTGGAATCTTGTGTATTGGACTTACAGCCAAATCTGCTGGTTCTCATAGCCTCAGAGGAAGTCTTGGGTAATGGAAAGCTTTTGATTTCCTAGTCAGGTCTTTATGGTTGTCTTGGGGGTTGTGTGGCCACTTCCTTTAATGAAAGGCCCTTTCAGCCCTAAATCTCTTTGCTGGGCCAGTGCCTGCCCTGAATCTCTGTGCTAGCCCAGCCCCTGCTTATTGGAATATATGGTGGCACTTAGAGTGTGTGAACTCACAGCCCATCCATCGTCCTCAGCATTTTGCCAGCCCACCACTGAAGCTGTGTTCTTGTCACACTGTGCCAGCGCCCGCCAGCAGTCATGACAGGTGGGGTGGGGCCTCCTGTGGTGGTTCAGCCCCAACCACTATCCTGGAGGGAGAAAAGAAATCAAAACGAGGCTAGGCAGTACACGCAGCTGTCTGCCAGAGCAAAGCCTAAGGAGTGAGGATTTCAAGGATGAGGGGGGAAGACTGAGAGTTCACACCAATCGATGCTGCCCAGCAAACCTTGTCTCAAAAAAAAAAAGTTGTGGGGAGGTGGGTGTTTCACCCTTGGAAGGTTTGAGGTGTTTAGTGTGTGTGTGTGTGTGTGTGTGTGTGTGTGTGTGTGTGTGCGTGTGTGCGTGTGTGTGCCAACTACTGGGCCTGGGTGCCATCCTAGTCAAGGCTGGTGCTCTATCACTTGAGCCCACACCTCCACTTGTAGCTTTCTGGTGGTTAATTGGAGATCAAAGTCTCACAGACTTTACTGTCCCAGCTGGCTTTGAATCACGACCCTCAGATCACACCCTCCTAAGTAGCCAGGATTATAGGTGTGAGCCACAAACGCAGTGTTCAGCTTTTTAAGTGTCTAGTAATTGACCTCCTGGGGCTGTGTGGAGTCAGCTGTGCCCACGTTCTTCTCAGTCCTCACTGTTTGGGGGGTGTTGGGGGGGAGTGACAACCAGAAGCGGATTTTGATGGGCAAGATTGGAAGTCCCCAAAGCCAGATTTAGCCCCACAGCACTGCCGTGGAAAAGCAGTGCACCCGGGAAAGGTCTCGCACGTCCTAAGAATACTGACTCTTCCCTTGCTTTCCCTTCCTCTCCCTCCCTTCCCTTCCCTCCCCTTCCCCCTCCCCTCCTCCTCTGGCCATCAGCTGTATTTAGAAGGCCACAGCAGCGGATGTTTCTGTTTCCCCAAGTTTGAGTCCTGCTGATTCTAGAATGAGTATGTGAAAGCTCTGATGAGATTTGAGCTTCTATAACTGATTGCCGCTGGGACAGCGGGAGATAGCAGTGAGACTTGTGCTCTGTGTTCAACCACACTGACCCTACACGTTACCAGATGTAGGAGAGTAGTGAAACAGTGTCTGGTCACCAGACAGAATTCTATGCTAGGAACTCAGAGAAGTCTTGCCGCCTCTGCACCACCGACACCCCTGGAGTTCACTTGGCTTTTGTGCAGTGATGGCACACCGTGTGGCACACCCAGATTCCCTCAGAACCCTGTGAGCAGCCTGGGTAGCCTCTTCCAGGAGCCCCAGTGCGCCCCGGATTCCCTCAGAGCTGTGTGAGCAGCCCGGGTGGCCTCTTCCAGGAGCCCCAGTGCGCACGTGTGGTTTGAGTGCCAGCCTGGGGAGAGCTGCCTTCTCCTCCATGATGTTTATCTGTGTAAATAGCTTTATTTTTTTCCCTCCATGTCTCAGATGAAGTTTTGTTTGTGTAACAAACAGGTAGACAGTGACCAAATAAGGCTGTAACTGTGCTGTCGTTTTCTACTGTGATGTACTTGAAGGAGAGCCGTGTGTCCTTCACTCTTCCAATCTTCCAGTATTTTGTGTTCGTTTGGGGCAGTCCTGAGGTTACTATTTCACTCCTGTTTTGCCTCTGATTTTTCTTTGTTTGTTTGGAGACCCAGGAAGGCCCAGCTAAGGATCATTTGTAAGAATTATGTATATTGTTGTCCGGGTTTCCAAAACTCCCCTACGTACAGTGAATCGAGAAGAATCTGCTTGGAATGGTCTCAGAACCATGTACCTTTATGCTTTGTGATTGTGAAACACTGATTTTTGTAACCCCCAAATAAGAACCATTTAGTAAAGGGGATCTATTTTGTGTGTTTTGAAACTTAGGTGCAGCGTCCCCTGGAAAAAGCTAAAGAACTGTATATGCTCAATGACATTTTAAAATAAAATATTATATATATATATGTATATAGGACATCTTTAGCAAAACGTTTTTTGTGTCTTTTTTTGGATTCACTGTAATTTTCATATCAAGTGATAGAATGATAAGAGAGTTTAATGGATGAATGTGAGGGATCAGCTGGGGGCACAGACTCAAAAGAAGAATTGCCAACACTGGAGTCGAGGGATGGGCTAAGTCATTATAGCCATGCCTCCAGGAGAGCTGCGATAGCAGGTATGAACACACGAAAATGTGGAGGGAAGAACCACTCCCAAGAGGTATTCTTGAGTAAAAGGCCAGAACCTACTCTTGCAGAAGTAGGTAAGAGTTGAGATTCCCTTAAGCCAGATGCCAGTGGCTGATGCTTGAAATCTTAGTGACTTCAGGGGGCTGAGACCTGAGGGTTATGGTGTGAAACCAGCCTGAGCAGAAAAGC